ACATCACTGCGACCAGCCACACCAGAACGGACATATCTCGCATCTAACTCAACCCCATGCAACAAATTTGATATCCAAGTGTTCATTATGGCCCGTTCTTCCTCGACGAAAAAGTACATAAGTGACAATTTAGTCAAAGACGAGAAAACTGCACAAGAAATTTGCCTTATTTACACGTATCGGCAATGCGAGCTGCCCAGCAACTTCCCTTTCTGACGTCACAAGGGGAATTTCTGTATGGCAATGAATAGCTAATGAGGAGCCTCGTTTTAAAATACAAAAATAAAGTTGCTGTAGACTGAGTTTAAAACACATTTTTTCACTTAAAAAAAATAATTTATGCTTAGAAACATAAAAATTAATAATATTTATGTATCAATTGATAATTTTAGACGTGAAAATAGCAGCCATTTCACAGGCACTTTAACCCGCAGAGTACATGGCGAACATACACAACATGGTTTGCACCCTTTCTATTCTGTTATTTACTCAGGATGAACCCTGATGTTGCAATACTGAAACAATCCATATTTCTTTGAGTAGTAGTTTTTGAAACTCCAAAAATGTGATTGTTAAGGTAGAGATGCAGTTTATTTGTGAATTTCAATCAAAAATAGTTTTTTTCGCTTTTTATATAGATTTTTATCTAAAGAACATTCTGTGAAAATTTGACCAATGAATTCTTATTGGAACACGGTTAAAATTGCTGGTTATTTTCTGGATAAAAATAAAAAAACACTCACACGTGGCAATGTTTATGTCCAATTGCCTAATTTGCATGAGTAAGACCTTTGATTGACAATATGCAAATCGAGATTGTACGGGTCATAGTTCATTCAATCACGCGCATGTGCAATTATTCTCAAATCAGTTCTCGCTCGCTAGCAAACCAAACATTATATTTCCTCGGCGTTTTTTCCTAATTTTTATCATTACATTATGCGTTGTGTGAAAAGAGAGGTAGAAAGATGATTCAGAAGATTTCTATGTCGGAAGAGGCAAAAGCTATACCGAATGCATCAGACTGCCGAACGAAAAACAAAATCGATGTGAGCGTCCAAACGTGACTTTCCCTGAAGGCGTGAATCCGAGTTTCTGATTGACTGAGAGATTTTATTTTTTAATAATTGTTTTCAAAAAATAAACTGAGCATGTGGAGAATAATTTAACATTGTTTACAGTGATAACAGCTCATTGTCGAAACGAAGCTTACCCATTCACGCCAGTCACAATAAACATTATACTCTTGAATAGGCGTCAATGACTGCGGTAAAACTTGGACTCTATTTTAGGCGTCAGGAATGATTGAAATATACCTTAAAAGTCCCATTTTATTTTTTCTAAATCCCATCCCGAATTTACGGCAGAATCTGGTCCTTCAAATAAGGAACACGTGAGCTTTGATTCTATATTGCACTGGTCGGGGAGATACAAACTTTCATGTATCTTTTGTCGAATGGGTATCTGTACTTCGATCATTCGCAAGTTTTCCTAGGTAGTGCGAGACAGCTTTGTTCGTAACCGGACGAACTCTGTTTAATTCAATGAAGCAAACAACTGACAATGCTAAAATAAATTGCAGAGGTACGCTAAAATTAATTGAAAACAAGCAAATAATTTCCATGAAAAATAAATCACAGAGAGAGGTGACTTGATACATTAACAACTCTTTTGACCTATTAGTTTTGTGCTGACCTCTTCTCCGCGTCTGATGTTTTGTTTTCCTTGTCATAATACTTACTGATTGATGACTTTGTTTTGATTTTGATTTTTTTAGCCTACAACTCGGTCACGACCTTTGCTTTTACCGTGAAACATGGGGAAGTTTACGTCAATTTGACGGACATTCCATTTTTTTTAAACTAACGAAGCACACTGTCTAGCATCCCCATTTTTTTCATTTGCTGATTTCTATTCTGAAAAATTCAACCGCTCGAAAATGCACCTTAATTTTGCACGCTAAAAACATGTCAGATTTCCAACACTAATTATTTAAAACTGGTCTAAATTTTAGAACTTTTTCGGTAGGTGCTGGAGCTCTCTTCTTGCAGGCGACTGTCGCCGGTAGTACAACAGCATGTTTTGTACGTACATCCGTGAGCTGATTGTCTGCGACTGTCTTAGAAAATCCCTGAATAGTGCGCACCGAAATCGGGAAAAAAATTGCCTCCTTAAAAAACGAACAGAATTCAAATATTTCTTTTAACAAATATGTTGCAGTGGGAAAAATGGG